AGGAAGAAATATGTAACGTTACCTAAACATTTTGACAGATGTCTCGAAAATGTTTTGGCGAAGGTCCCCCCAACCCACCCTCACACGCATAAAAAGCTTTAAAGCAAGTGAACGAAAGCAAATGTGTTAAATCAATTTCAGTTAAACGACCGCTTTGGAATGTCAAAAAAAAAGAACAAAAAATTCTCAAAAAAAGTCTTGATTCTCTCATGGAGAGCACGAAGAAGAGATTGAGTGAAAAAGAACGGACTAAAGAACTTCATAAACAATCTGTGATTAATGAACAGCAGAAAGGTCAATTATAATAAAATATTTACAATAAAAAGTACCGTATATTCTTTCCGTTGCTGTGCAACTAATTCATCAACTGCACGCTGATAGCGGCGCTAATTTTCGAATTGATTGATTTGATACTTTGTTGGTGATTTATAATTTTTTAAATTAATTTTTTCGTTGCACGGCGGAAATATGTTTGATTTGTATTGGATTTTGCAGTTGAGCTGGATGAATATGCTGACAACATTAAAGATGTTGATGTGAAAAACACTTGTTGATAAAGAACAGACAGGTACGAAATTTTGTGATGAACGACAAAGAAACTGTAGACCATGGAGAGCAAGAAATAAAATTTCGAATCTGGCAGGCGTCATAAAAATGAAAAACTTTCAACATGGAGTCAGACTTACTGGTAATGGAAAAGAAAAGTCTGATGATCAAATTATAGCGATTGCTCGAACATAGTGTGTCACTATATATCATATATGTCGGAGAATGTTGGAGAGTTAGACGACAGTAATGTTCACTGACCTTTGATGTTGACCATTCATGAAGACCATTCATGAATTCGTTATTGCGCATGCTCTGACAATAATGATGACTGTGACCTCCAGAAAAAATAAGAAACTGGCAAACCTCTGTAGTCTTCCCAGCCTGGCATACCTGTTCTTGACATTGATACCTTGCCAGCTGGAGAGGAAGAATTCGCAGATATTGAATTTTTTTTTTTTTTAATTTTTTTTTAAAATTTTCCCCATGTACAATAAATTTATGTGTAGTATATTTACAATAATTGTAGAGTGCGGGCTAGAGACCTACTAGAAATCTTAGTAGACTTTTTATTTAGGTCTTTAGTTATGCTAGCCAGTTTGTATTGTGTTATGTAATAAATTATTTACAGTCAATCACAATATTAAAGGAATATATATATTTATAAGAGAGAAAAAAAGAATCCTGGAAGAATGCATGTGAGCATGTCTATGCTTGCACAGACGTGACAGACTTGTTCCAATGTAAAAACGTCCACATAATAAGAGAATGAGGATCGTTCTGAGTCAATGAGGATATTGAAGGTGTTTTGCCGTTGGAACAGTTTCTGACAGACATCTTCCAGCGACCAGTGTGGAGGAAGCCACTCGTGATTCCGATGATGCAGTTCCAGAGAAAAATAGCCCGCATGCAGCTCCAACACATATTTATTTAGTACGTATTAAAATTCGGGATGGGTCTGCGCAATTGGCTAGAGGAAAGGAATGTTGAAGATAAAGAAAATACTGATAACAAGGAATAGGCAGATAGATCTTGTATTTTTAACGCTAAATACTAAGAACGCCAAGCAAATATCATTCCTAGCCAGGGGGTTACCAGAATACCAGTACACTCGAGAATACTGGCCATGGCTCAAAATACCAGGATACTTAAAATTCCAGGTTACGTCAATCTGCCTGAGTACTTAATCTTGGGTAAATGTAGCATACTTTCTGCCAGGATTTCAACTTATTTAAACAATAAAATACTAGTCTACAATCCTGGCAAAAACTAATGAAACATCCAGTTTGATTAACAATTTAATTTATTCTTCCCCCCTTCCCCCTTCCAATGTTGATTAAGATGAGCAAGAAACCTACACATAGTGCTCTCTGCCATCGATGAACTATTGTACACATTTTTTTAGAATCTATGTCCAACATTGTGCAGGGGGGAGGGGATTTTGTCTGTTTTGTTGATTTTTTATAGGTGTTTCATTAACTTTTTGCCAAGATTGTAGCTATACAAAAAGTGAAATGGTCTAAATAGCAATATACCTGAAACCCTTGGTCGGGCTTGAAATGTAGAATATAACACTGGCTTCAATAAAGTGACAAGACAAAGAAAGTTGGTTCTAGTGTCTGGAGCAATAGACGTTTTGGCATATGGAGAGAGAATTATAATTTGCAAAAAGACGTGATCAAAGATAGAACTGGCAGTGAAGGGTAAAGAACACCTCAAGCAAGTGATTATTTAGCGGAATAAAGCACCTCAAGAACCCCTATATATAGTAAGAGGCAATTCAACTAGGAGAAATGATGTGGATTTGAAAACGGGGAATAAGATATTGTGGGCGGCTAGAGGAAATAAAGACGCTGTTAAATCTCCACATCTATGTGATATAGGACGAGCTAAAAATGCGCATGATGAGACTTTCAGACTGATTTAGGTCACCAAAGCATCTATACATGCACAACAGGTGAGACCGTGAGAGAGAGATCCAGTCTCTTATGGCTGGCTGATCCACTTACTGGAATGATTGGTAGAAATCCTAGGACCACAAAAGATTGGAAGCATTCTATAAGAAGAGTAAGTGCTGCATCGACTCATTAATTTGCGGCGGAGAAGCATTGACGGAGAGTACGGAGGCCAGCCTAGACGTAGGGCATTTACTCGGCAAGCGGTACTTGATTTGCAGGTCTTCTCACGTGAAAAAGCGCTGAAATAGAAGGCCGAATGATATTTGGAAGAGCTAAGGGACGAACTTTCGTCATTTTGTAATGAGAAGATTTACTAGTTATTATTGTTCTAATAACGTAAACATAAAATGAGACAGATAATTAACCAAACATTTAAATTATGTATGCGAGCAAACTGTGTGGCAACGGACATACTGCAATGCGATAGCTCATTGCGTCAGAGTTCCCTATAGGATTTAGAGTATAAGGAGGCTTTTTGAAAGACATAGGCGGCTATGTGGTGCCGAAAGTACCACTCCTTTGAGGACGGGTTGGGGGGAGAGGGGGAGGTTTCGAGGGCGTCTCCCCATGAAGATTTTGTACTACAGACCTCTTCAAATGGCATTTCCGGTAATATTGAAGAGTAGTTTTGGACATTTTGTCTCGTTATCCAAATACTTAACGAAGAATATATGTTTATTTTGTGTGTGTTGGTGTTACAGTATGTACTAAGGTGAATATGATGTTTGTGATGACAGTGATGTTACTCTGAGTGTGCATCCACACCGGGCAAGCTGAAAAGTTCTCTTGGCCACGGTGGGAATCGAACCCGCGACCTTTGGGATACTAGTCCAATGCTCTGCCAACTGAGCTACGTGGTCAAGTCGGTTCGAGTTGATGATACTTCGGAACTGTAAAAATTATGTCATCCAAACTAGAAACTTTTCCCTTAACATTTTTGTCAAGGAAATTATTTTTGGTTTTGAAAAAATATATTTGGCATTTTGAATTTTGTACAGAGTATAAAAGGGGATAAGTACACTCAAGACGCGAGGGACGATAACTCACTGCGCAAAACCTGCTGGCCGAAAAAAGCATCAAAAAGTACCTGTAGAAGAATTTTACAGAAACACGGAATATGCTCAGCATTGTCAACAATTTTCTTCCGTTAAAAGCTGGTTTACAGTTTCTGTAGGAATTTCGCACACGTTTGAGGGAATTGACAGTGTTTAACACTGGTGAGTTCCCTCGAACGTTTCTTACAAATCCTTCAAACTTGACATGTACCTATGCAAAATACCTACTGTCATTACAGAGACTTTGATAGTGTAAACCAGGCTGAAATCTAGCATAGCCATTCGTCGGATTTCAGCAAATTTATTGCCTCGTTTATAGTGGGGTGCACCGTGCACATTTTATGTAGAACTGCGCGTTAAAAATTTCCTTGTTGGCCAACACCGTTGACATGGGCGTACCGGAAGGAAAAAATTAGGGGGGCGGAAAGAAAATTGCCCGACTTTTCGGGATTCTGCCTCGGTCAGTGTACCATTTTAGGGGTCAAAAAAATTTTCCGGACAACCAATTTTTTCGGAGCATAACACAAATTTTCGAAAAATCACAAAATTTGCCAAAAAATTGACTTAATTTTAGACAAAATTGACAGAATTTGTCCCATTTTTTTTTATTGCAAACCAAAATTGCCCGACTGTTGATCGAATATTGCCCGACTGCCCAAAAAACTGGGGGGGCTACCGCCCCCCCCGCCCGGTACGCCTATGACCGTTGATATCCTTTTTGGACTGGATTTTCTCCCTTGGCATTACTTGTGACAAGGGAATCTAGCCTGTGTTCCAGTCCACTACACTGTTGGGTGTGCACACAGTAGACTGGAACACAGGCTATCAAAAGCCCTGATCAGTTTACATTTTCATGTCACGCAGTCACAAAATATAAGTGGTTAGGTTAGGGATTGGATCATAGAAATATTAGACCTAATGATAGATGTCTAATATTTATATGGATTGGATGGTTTCGTGATTGCGTGAAATGAAAAGCTCTGATCACGTCTCACTCACTGTCCTCCTTCAAAACATGTTTATTATTCTATGTAGACGGATTTTGTAGATGGAAATTTCGAGTGTTAATTATTATTTATAACAAATGATGATGCCCAAAATATTTACTCATTCATCCTATTATTATATGGAATAAGCTAGTTTTCACATGGACTAAATTGTTGGGTATTTTTGGCCAATCAACTTGAAAAAATTATATCGAGCCTTGTTAACCTAATTTCATTTATTTCAGGGCTAAATCAATATAGTAATTAAAGTCAAAAGCACTTACTGTATACATCAGTATATTAATATATTTTAAACACAGTTATATTCATAATATTAGCATATTAGTTTAATCACTCTTCAAATATAATAACATCTTGGAACATTATGAGTAAAATAGTAAAACTAAGATATCTAGTTTCTATGTATTGAACTAGTTTGAATCTTCATCAGAGTCATCGCCACCACGGATGATTTTCTTTTGTTGATGGAATAACTTTTTGGTTGAGTTTGGATTTTTAAAGTTCGGAGGTTGACTAATATCTCCGCTGTAGTCAATCACACCTGCACATGCAATTCTCCATTCTAACATTTCACATGGAAAATCATCACTGCCTCCGAGATCATCAAAACCAACAATAAAATCAACAGTTTTGGAATCTTTAATGAGGGCAATGGTCGGTAAAACCACAACTCGAAGCCGCTTCACAAGGAATGGACTCTTTTCAGCATCAATTTTTATAAACTTCGCTTCTATATGTTTTGGGGCCAGAGTTGCGAGATGTTTATCCACAATCTTACATCTCCATGTACTATCACGATAGAAATGACAGATGACTTTATCACTTTCTTTACAAGCTGAGAAGAAATCTTTTTCCTCAGCTACTGCCGTGTATTCCCCATGGCCTTTCTGTCGCAATTCTTGTTTTAATTCTTGCTGCTTTTTTAGTTGTTGTAGACGTCTTTCTCGCACCATATCAATGTCGTCTTCTTTTAAGTTTTCAAGCCGGTTTAATTCTGAATCTACTTGTTCTTCTACAATACTTGCAGCTTCTAAAACCTTTTGTTGTATCAGAGATTCAATGTTGCCTTGAGCAGCCATTTTGAAACTTTCAACATTGCTATGTCACCTAGCGACAAATAATCTTATGGGCCGGGAGGGTAGGGATTTTTAGCTTCATTTAAACAAAACTTGCGTAAGTTAAAAACCACCTTATTGAAACATATTTACAATAAATATTGATATTTTATAGTAGAAATTTAAAGAAATTAAATATTTCTCCATGTCTTATAATGGAAATAGTATGTAGTAGCATACCTTCAATTTGTGGGAGGGTGCGTTATCAAATCTTTTTCACTTCCGCCAGTGACTTCCGCTCATCGTTAGATTCCGCGCGTACACAAAACGAGATATCGCGGGAAACCTAAATTGTGAATTTCCAAGTAAACATTTCACATATTTAGGGAAAGAACTTCATTACAACACGGTTTAAATTGATCAAACTGTTCTGTGTTTGAGATAACTTTTCCAATAAATGAATGAATGTCGTCTATGGGTAATATAAATGAGTGTCTTCACTCGTAACATTCGACACTGACTAGTACTGGCTCAAGACTGGCAAGTAAACTGCAAATTGTGTATGTATACATTTTCTTTTCTCTCTGTACATTTTTTCCATGGTTTAGGTTCTCTTTGCTGTATCATATCAGCTAAAAAACCTTCAAAACAGGACAAAGCTTCTAGACTGATAAAATTCTCAAGAACGTTGCATGACAAATATTTACACTCCTTGGAATTGGAACTTTATATTTATTCTTTATATTTCCATTTTATTATAATATATATGCTTATCACCTTTAATACATATTTCTTCTTTGCAATATTTTTTCAAACATAGATATTAAAGTAATTTACAGTATTTAGTTTAAAATGCTTTCACTCGCTGAAATGACATTCAGTTTTTCTGATGTCATATGGATTACATTTTAATACTGGTGAAATGTATATAATATATTCTGTCATGAGATTCAACCAGGCTGTAGATATTTTTATTGTAAAATTTCAAATTGCAGCACTACTGCAAGACAGATTAGTTAATTGATATATAATATATTTTCATTTAAAATCTTTACTGTAACTCACTTTGAGAGGGATATTTTGTAAAAAATTCCAAGTCGTAATTGAACTCCCTCCAGTGGTGTGATCAGTGCTCATCATTTATTCGCTGTACGCTTGCGTCAACACTATACCTGCTTGCTTTTTGGATCATGGTTTTGCTCGACGCGAAGCTATTGGGGATCAATATTTCTCCATTTCTGTACGAAACTGATGAACACTCGGTCTTCAACTGCTGGTAGAAAATGCCCGTAAGTGCAGTATTTATTGTTTGTGACAGAATTTACTACGCCAGCAAATACAAGCATCAACACGACTCCACCTTTGCCTCGAATCATAAATTGATCTCAAACACGGCTATTTATGTTTTCTTATTTTATAATTCAACTTTTACACTGTTATTAAGACTTTCTAGTGTTTATTTAATTGAGCTGTGGTTGATAATAAGCAATGAAGTATCGTAAAAGCAAGAATTTGGCGTGAACAGCAAACTAGTGTCTACATGCCTCGAAGCCTTGTATCGTGTTGTCTTTCACAACGCATTTTGAATCAAGCTTTATTTTGTTGTATTTTCCCTAGCATGACCGTAGATTGCTCGTCCCAACGTTCAGAAAATCACTCCATCGTCTCAGGTCGTCAGGCAAAGCTAAAAAATGGCAAGAGCAAAGAAATCTCGAAGTTTGAAATTGATTTAAAAAGAAAGCCTCCTATAGACGGCGTCGATGAACAAGAACCAAAGGGAAAGCTTCCTCGTCAGGATAAAAACTTCAATGTGAAAGATGATTTAACTTGTGGAGTAACCACACGAAGCAATGTTAGACCAGGGAAACGAAGAAGGACTCAAACACCGGAGAGATCGCTTAGTGTAACTCCAGGTATGTACTTAGAGTGTCTAGAGTGAATTAGTTATGTTTTGCAAGCGCCATATTGAATTCAAAATGAAATGTAATAGTGACAAGTTGGGTGAGATATTAAGAGATTGATTGTAATCATCAAATGCTTCTGTATTTACAATTAAATAGGCATTAATATTATTAGGATTCTTCATAAAAATACATATTGTAAATACCATTACAATCAACAATGTCATCTGGTACTACAGTAGCAATATTGAAATGTGCATGTACATCAACTGCATAAAAATGGATTTTTCCAGAAAAGATGCACACTCCCCCTAGGGAAGGTGTGAAAAATTTTACTTTTGGTAATAGTTAAATGTACTAGGACGTCCGAAGAGTTGGGGAGGTACGGGAGGTGAGGATGTTTTCTGGAATGGCCCAATGGAGAAAAGGACCGACAACAAATAGATGTTGCACTGCAATCTCGGACTTGTTTGCCAATAGGGAAGAGGAATTTTCTTGTGATGGATCAGGATGTAAACAAGTGGATAAGTTATGAATGTTCAGATGAGTGTACATGTACTCCAAACATTCGTAACTTATCTACTTGTTGACATATAAAATCACAGCAAAAATTGAAAGTGTAAACGAGCCTTTTTTCCACCCTGTTGATGATTATATTATCACTAAGACCGAACTATGCTTATAGCTTTCCAACTATTTTGAATTCAACTTTAACCCATGAAAGCACAAGACTTTCCCTTTACGAGTAAAATCGTCTGGCATTAGATAAAGTAAAATTAATTAAAGTGAAAAAATAGTAAAGTAAAATAATAATATGGCTGTATTGCAGCTTAATTAATGGGTTAACAAAACACATTTAACGTGACAAGCTTTTAATAAGACATTTTCCAAAAATTTGCCGCTGGGATAGATCTGCGTTCCATTGTCCAGTTTTAAAGTTATCGGCATTTGAACAGCGGCGTACAAAAAGTGTGAAAGTTCGAATGCCGATAATCCCAGAACTAATGTAACAATATAAATCATAAGACTGGCTTCTTAACATGTTAAAATTTCTGGTATTGGACAGAGTAAAATAATAAAGTACATTTGGGTGCATTCACTGCATTGGCATGATTTTTTTAGTAATATGATACATGCACTATTCTCACTAATAAACAATATGGTAACAAACTCATAAACAGGAAAGTATTGTATTCCCGTTTGTGAGCTTCCATGAAGCATGCATTTGAAATTAGGTTGTGTTTTGCTCAGGGATGCCGGAGCAATGTGAAGGCAAGGGGGGCAGATTTTCGCCATGATTGGGGGCATGCAAATGTAACAATTTCTAGGGGTACACCGGAACTCAGTTCTGGCCGGTTAGTTCCAGCCGGAACCCCGATTTTTCAGAGTTCCAGTTCCGGCTGGAACTAATAGAACAAGCATGGCTGGAACCGGAACTCTGTTATTTTCAGGGAGATAGAATATCAAACGTTTTTGTGTCTAACAAAAGTTCACAGTAGGAAGAAATTTGGATTACACAAGGAAAATATACACCATTAACACGTTATTTGCGAGTAGTTTATTCTAACATTTGCAAGCTCTCTCCTTGATGACTTGAAGTGTCTGCCTGTCTGGTAGCAGACAAAGTAACACATGACTATTTATGAATTAATAAATCAGTTCTGCTTCCAGCCGGAACTTCCGCCAGAACTTTTTTCCTGTTCCGACCGAATCTGGTTCTGGCCGGAACTTTAAAAATTGATTCCAGTGCACCCCTAACAATTTCACATGCAAAACAATTTGTTTGATACCACATAAATGTTATTTTGAGCAAAACAAAAAGTTTTTGTTGGCAAATTATGTGGGAGAAACATTTTAAAAGATGGTTTTGCACACTTCACAGAAGCTTGCAAATTTTTACAATAAAATAAAGAAATGGCTAAAGGGAGGGGTCAACTTCCTATTTCCTTCTTTAAAATTTCAGTGAGTTCATGAATAATTCAATGTTAGGTTGTTACCAACCTTTTTAGCATGCTTGATGTTCTATTGAACGTTGTCCAGTTGGGGGGGCAGGAATAGAACCTGCAGCCCTGTGATTCTGGTCTACAGTGTCCAGTTGTCGAGCTCTAAACACAAATTCATGTATATATATACTAGGCTACTGCCATATTAGGTTATGGGTAAATATTTTGTTGGCATCACACTCAATTGAATAAGACACTTTAAGTGATTGTATTGGGCCTTGTAGTTATATATAAAATAAACTATAATTACTACATAAAAATAGGAATTATTAAATATAAATAATACCAATTGAATAAATTAAGTTGAAGGGTGTTGTTGCAACCCTCGAAATTCGCCTCGGCACTCGGCAATTGCCGACGCAAATGTCGAGGCAAGTTACGATTTTTCATAGTTTGCTTCGGCAAAAAAATGCCGAGGCAATTCCACCCGTTGTACCTTAAATTACAAACTACAGCGTCTGTTCGTTTTTTTGCTTAAATTTACAAACTATACAGTGTTCGTTTTTTGTATCACTTCTTTGTTCGAATTGTTGTCATCGACGTCGGGTGAACAACAGAAGATTTCATTCATAGCTACTTTACAAAATACCTAAATTTGAGCTTTTCAGCTTCGGCTGAAATAAAGAACAATCTTGATGGTTTAAAGACGGCACGTCGAGAAACTTTGTTTTATCTTTTAGACTGTCGCGTGATTACCGTCAAGTTTATTCTTTCATATACAATTTGTTGTTAATTACCCCTAACTTTTTAAAAACATTTTGAATCAGGAACTGCCGACGTGAATGCCGAAGTAATTGCCGAAGGAATTTAAGGTGATTTCATTGCGTGCCTCGGCAAAAAAAATTACCGAGGCAAACTCAGTCGAAAATTATCAAAAGACTAAGGCAATTATTTGCCGAGGCAAAAATAGTTGAATTTCGAGGGTTGTGTTGATGGAAATTATCGGGTGGACATTTATATACATTTATTAGAATTTCACCCGTGAGACTGCCAAAACAAAACACGCAGGCTGAGTTAACAAATTTTCCCACAAACCTGAAATAGTACTTGGGAACAAGTTTCACAATTTTATAACCCACAGAAATGGTCATAAAAACCATCCGTTATCCAGCAAATAAGTATCCAGCACATCCTTAGCAGAGTGTAGCAAAGAATTTATGATTACTGGCTTAAAGCAATTTCCGAATAATCCACGATCAAAAAACAAAATCTGTTTGTAGATGCATGACCTTGCTTTCAATGTAGAATGTAAATTGAAGTTTCCTCTCCTTTTCATTGGCAATACAGTAAGAAGAAAAATAATCAGGAATCGCAGTCATTATCACTAATACATCACAACACAGGTGCTCAGGGATTATTGCAATGTTTTTTCGTAATTGATTTTTTAAATCGTTTTTAGAATCTTCAAAGTCGGCAAACAAAAGATTGGAAACGGGCCGTACACGTAAAAAGCGACAATGGGAATCATGGGCTCCTAACGAGAAAGATTGTTTCTTTGAAGCACTGAATGAACACAGCAAAGATTTTGATAAAATTCAGATCTACCTTAAGAAACGTCGCGGTGACTTATCAGCCGCCGTTAGAAATAAAGATCAAGTTCGTCATTTTTATTACAGAACTTTAAATAAAATTTCCAAATATATCCCAGAACCTCAAGATCCTTCAGATGCGAAGAAAACTCATCACGAAGTTCGTAGTTTGATATGTTATGGTGAACTACGCAAGAAGTTTCGGAGTTTGAAAGAAAAAGATGGTAAGAAGCTGACAGAGTTAATTTCCACTGGAAAAACAACATTTAGATATCATGGTCGAAATGTGAATATTCGTGCACCGACCTGTCGAGCTTTGAAGAAACTTGCAAATGTATCTGAAGAACAAGAACAAATCCCGCAGAAAATCATGATTGATCTGATGCCAAGCGATAATAAAACATGGAGTATGATTCAAGGTCTTGCACACAACCCACGGTTGAGGACTACTGTTTCTACTAGGAAAACTGTGTCTAGTCTGATAACATTTTTAGTGTCAAAGTGGAAACTACAAGATAACATCAATATCTCGTTATCACCTTGTGTCACTCAGGTAGCTTCTAAGCAAGTTGGGAATAAAGTTGTTGATAGTGAAGTCGTTCCTAAACTGAAACAGGCTTGTGAAGTTAATAATGGACCTAGTAATACCGAGGGAATCTCGTGTACGGAAACACCTAAAGATAAGATGAATAAGACCACGTGTTCTGGAAAGAATGAAGCGACATCTTCCACCAAAGCGCCGTCATCCGCGAATCATTCAACCGCACAAGATGAAGTTGATGCAAAAGACAAAGGTGAAGACAATCATGTCCAAGACGCTCTGAAGCAAGAAAGTTGGAACAAATCAAACAGTGCGAGTCTCACAATTGCCGATATCTATCGAAAGATGAATAATCCTCGAAAGATACTATTGAGCTACAAGGCGTGTCAAGATGAACCGTCAAATGAAACAAATTATGCTTTGGAACAATTAGTGAAGCTTGCTGGTGGTGAATTTAGTTTTAACAAGAAAGAAGTTGGTTACATCTCATCATCCAAGTCTAAGGTTGTATCTAAAGATACTGTAAGCAAACCAAGCAAGGTGACTAAACCAAAGTCTACAGCTAAACCTCAGAAACCTCTGGCTCCTAAACCACCGCAGGAAGTAATTATTCCAACTGTTGTAAGTCCGTCTATTATTAATCAAGTTTCAATCAATTCTACATCAAAATCTGGCAACCATCTGACATTTGGCTTCACTCCTATCGGCACTTTCCCACGACCCTCGCCATTGCTACCGAAAGCAAGGAAGAGACAAGCAGCACGTGTTGTTGTTCAAAGAACATTACTACCTCGACCTTTCCCAGCTGTAGTCAGTCCTACAGGGAAAGGAGCTTCCCCCATACCATTTGTACCATCTCCAACAGGATTGCCAATCCAAAATGGTTTGTTTAATTCAGGTAATTGTTACGCATGCAGGTTTTTTGTATGTATTTTGAAGGAATAGACTAATTCGCTTTGATTCCAGAGGTCGTTTGACTCATTTCACACGTCGAAATTCTGGTGTTCCTTTGTTTAAACTTCCCTTGGTTACTTAAAGGGTAAAAAGCAACGAAAATGTTTATAAACATTTTTTTCTTTGTTTTATTTGTTCTTCTAGATTATTACAAAATTAAATAAGTTTTGTCTAACGTTTCGGTTTCCTATACGAAAACCATTTTCAAAGACTTGAACGTTTGTTCATTGGATAAAATGGATAACCGTTGATGTTTATCTTATGTCAGCTGCACGATTGCGTGATTTATAAACAATGTTAGATATATAAGATTGTTTCCACTTACAGGAAAACGTTTGTGGAAAATGAAAACTTGAGGCAATATTAGGGCAAGTTATCTTTGGATGTGGAAGCACTGACTAAACAAACATGGCGTCCGGTTGTTAGGAAAATTTTTAAAAAGTTTAAAAAAAAGTTAAAACCGACCTACCCTACCTAAGTTTTAACAAGAAAAAATAGGAAACCCACATATTTTTTTGGCCTTACATTATTTCTTACGTGATGTAATGGTTGTTAAATTCGATATCCAGCAGTTACCATCTTGTGTAAATACACTAGCCAATACTTGGGTTTCATATGACGCCACAAAAGTGACAGGGGGTCAACTCAAAACACAAACACAGTTATCAGAGTGAGTCGATTGTTCGTTTTATGTATTAGCCTTTGTTTGGTGACAAATACGTGGAATTTCGTATCATTTTCTCACTCCAGTACAGCATACATTTGAGGTTGACCGTCAGATTCACTGCATAATGCCGTAGTGAAACCCAAGAATACTTAAGTTTATTGTACTCTGAAATACGCAAATGTATTGCCACAACCTCTTGGCAAGTGTAGCTCAATGGTTAAAGGATAGTAGAGATTCACTTGTAATTGTGGGAACCATTGAGTGTTTTAATTAAATACAATACAATACAATAGTAACTCCGAAAACGGGTAACATTTTGTAAAGTGTTTGTTCGACGTTTCTACTGGATTTAGTTATCAGAAATGATGAAATTACTATACATATCATAGATATATACAAGTGAAGAAATATGAGAAATACTATGTAAGGTCATTAGTTAATCTTTACCATTTTCGGAGTTACTATTGTATTGTATTTAAGTTCACTCTTGCTTGAGCGGTATTGTTTTGTGCTACAGTCATAGATCTAAACGTTTCACATCTTTGCCCGAAATCACACTCGCACTGAGTAGTTAAAGTGTGATTTCTAAAACACTTTAAAATCTTTCTATGAATATTCTCAGGGCAAGTGAATAAACCAAGAAAGATATTACCAAAAGAATCAAATGTTCGCAACGGAGAAACAAGCACTAACGCAACCCCGCCTGCAGCAAATCTTACGGTGGACTCGTTGATTAAACTTGCTATGAGTCAAGATATACCTGAAAATTTAGAAAGTTTAATTTTGTCGAAGCCATTGAATCTTGATAAAACTCCATCAGATCATGTTCATACGGAGGAAATTGACAGTGGTATAGCTCTAGGACATCTGAAAACTGTAAAAGAAGTTGAGAACTTAACCGAAGCTATGAATCATCTGGATAGTACGAAACACGATACTGACGACTTACTCGATAACTTGAAGTCCTCTGAAGACGAAGATCCCTTCAAGTTTTTGTCTCCTTCGCATATACCAAGTTTTCCACCAGAGGGATGGTTGAATGAAGAGGTATGTGATATGGGTAACATTTATACTTTATTAATAACCAACCCAGAGTCGCAAGAACTGTTCAACCTTCCTCCGGGTAAAGTTTTTCAAATCTTCCTCAAAATTATGTGAATTATGGCTTTTTCAAATTGCAAAATATATAAATTAGGTCTTATTCCTATTTCCTACTGACCAATTTTTTTATTTATTTTTTTATTTTTAAACTTTACCAACATAAAATGTGCACACAAACATGACAGTATAACAGCAAACATGTACGTCATTGAATCTAACAACGAATGGCGGGGACCTTGGCCTTGAGACCTTGTACTGCCTCGGCACTGAAATGTTTTTTGACAATGATTGTTGAATGATAATTTACCAGTGTTTCTTGCATATTTTCCTTGTTTAACTAGTAGAACCGAACGTACAAGTGCATCAGAAGACTAAGCGAGAGTTTTGTGTAGAAATGCTGTGTTTACGGCAAGTTATTTTGCATTCGCAAGCGTCAACAAAATCCGGCATTTTCACAGACTCACAGTTTGATTATCATGTCGATAGATGCTTTGAAAATTCAACTGAAAACATTTTAAACCACCCGTATTTGTATAGAATATATGTTAGTTGTATTAACATTGAACTTCTTTCTGTTTGAACCCAAATTTGTACTTGCTGTTCAAACGAGATATTCTATACACTGGAAACGTAGAGTACATTTTACTTTGTCTCAAGCAAAAAAATTATAAAGATTAAACAGGCATTCAAAAATATACAACAACCACAAATATCTCGTTATTTCTTCGGGGAAATCTTCAAGTTTCAATAGAAATCTGACGCATGCGCAACAAATTTCCCAGCTGTTCTCACATATGATAAACTTTCCTCACGGTTCTACCTGCATACCCGCAGCTTTTTTGCAACTCTGTACCGACCTTTGCATATATGTACCTGGAGATTAATAGTACAAGCACTTCTACTACAGGTATACGGTAATAAAAACTCGGACAATCTTCTCCAAAACGAGGCTTGAAACTCAAACTTTCTCCGCAATTATATATTTCAGAATATGCTTTGCGGAAATTGTGCGGGCAAATTGTGAAAACTAACTGTAAAAGAAATAAAATACTTGATTGTTATTTTTCCATCCATCAACACGCCATTAAAAACATGCTTTAAAATGGTTATATTGTTGTTCAGAAATGATGCATGGAAAGACAAAACCAACAATCTTCTGGGTTGGGGGGTTTGGGGGTTTGGTGGAAGTTGGTAGTGTTCTCCTTCTAAAAATAGATTACAATGCTTGTACCCTGTGTACCAGGTACGTTCGATCAATGGGAAATATGGGCGGCAGATGCGATTTTGTTCTTTTTACCGCCGAGTTAAGCCTAGTACTGTACATCGTAGCTTACTAAAGTAGTTTAATTTTAATTGCAGAGTACGGACTTTTCGCTTGGTACGCTGTTCTGTAAGTTATTTTCATCTTTAATGTCGGGCATACATCTTATTTTGCGAGATGTTGAGAAGTTTTCCTTGATTTGTGCTATTTTTTTCAGCTCATCTGGAAACTTCGCCAGTGAAACAAAAACCAAGCAGTGTTCTCGTAAGTCAATTTTATTTTTCATGTTGTTCGTTAGTTTTTCGTTTTCAATTTTTTTTCTATCTGAGCATGATTCGTAAGGCCCGGTCACACCACACAACGATAACGATACGATAACTTGTATACGCCCGATGATTGCTCAAAAATTTATCGTTATCGCCCGACTGAAATTTTATCATTTTCGTTAATGTAGTGTGGACACCAACGTATTTTTTTTGCCAATTATCGCGTGTTTACAAATTATCGTTGTGTAGTGTGACCGGGCCTTTCTTTACACAGCAGAAAACGCCTAGCCTGTAACAATGTTGTTGAAAACAGGCCTGAACAATATTTTGCTGCCCATATTGTTCCTGCTGAACAATATTGTTAACAACCAGGAACAACATGGGCAGCAAAATATTATTCAGGCCTGTTTTCAACAACATTGTTACAGGCTAGGCGTTTTTTGCTGTGTACATAACCACTAACATGCTGTATGTTTCACTTTGTCGATATTTTTCTCTCTCATTACGAAATTCGTAATTTTAGCTTCGGAAACTGAAAAATTTTGACAATTCTGATATTTTCCCGTCTTAATAGGATACCCCGAAGAAAGCTGGGGCAGCAAGTTACTCTGGCTCAAAGTATTCTCAAGTACGTAACCAAATACTTCATGTTAGTCTGCATATTTGTTAAACTCAATTTTTTTAAAAGTTTGTTACGGTAGTTTTTATTTTTGAAAGTTGTTTACGACCATATACTGTAAGCAAAACTCGTTTCTGTTTGTTTGTTTGTTTGTTTGTTTGTTTGTTCGCGCTACGAACGCGTGCTACAGTAGTCCTACAAACGTTTCATGTGATTGAGGTTTGAATTCAAAATTCCATTAATTTCTGAAACCGGGATCATATACCCAGGTCCCACAACTACAAAACGGCCAGAGGCTGTAGTTGTTATATCGTGCGCAGTGTTCGGATTGAATATTCGTGCGTGAAACTGAATGTTATCCGAATGTACGCAGAATTATTGATTACGTCATTTGAAAAGATGTAAAACGATGTGATTGTGAAGTGGCCTTAGTTTATCTCTTGTTGTAAACGTTTCCTATGGGTATATGCGTTCACTAAGTTGAAATATTTAAGAAGGCAAAAGAGATCTTAGACGTCAGTTCCTGTCTCTTTCTATTGTTTTTGCGCGGTTAACACGAAGCTGGCAAGGAGTGTGCCGAAATTTCGTATTTTGACGTCGATTTAAAGAATAACACTATAGTTTTATCAATTGATAACTTGTTTAGCGATACGGTCCGTTAGAAAAAACTAGACTGAGCTGGGAAAATGGTATTAAAATTCCACCAACACAGAAAAAATCAAGGTATTAAAACTGTTTACGAGCTACGACCTTCATAGATATTGGACGTCAATTTCCGCCATCTTGGCTTCACTTTTCTCATTGACCGAATGATTCAAGCTGGAGTAATACGAGCAACAAAATTGCTGCAACTTGCAACAAAATCTGATTTCAACGCATGTTAAGTAGAAATATTGAAACATGTTGTCTCGCGATTTGTAATTTATGTTAGACATTTTCAATGGACCATTTGCATTTTGATCTAGACAAAAATTTCATCACATCTTGAAAGAGCATCACAAAATTAGTAATATTCCAAAGTTTCGTTGCGAAATGTTGTAAAATACGGATAATATAGCCATGCGAAGTTTGCAATTTTCAGTCATTTTCTATTACAAACGGGAAATTGATGCCCCAACACCCGATTGGGCTGTCAATTTCCCGTGCGCAATACAAAATGACTGAAAAACGGCAAATTTCGCATGGCTATATTATCCGCATTTTACAACATTTCGTAACGAAACTTTGGAATGTTACTAATTTTGTGATACTCTTTCAAGCTGTGATGAAATTTTTGTCTAGATCAAAATTTAGTCTATAATGCAAATGGTCCATTAACATGCATAGAAATCAGATTTTGTTGCAAGTTGCAGCAATTTTGTTGCCGGTATTACTCCACCTTCAAGTTCTTGCTCCAGATATATAGAGAGCTCACACTGATTCCCGCTTGATAATGACGACATTTTCTTTAGGCTGCTCCGATGTTCTGCGACATGATGGATGAAAATAGTGTGGATTATGTGAAGAAGTTTCGTGATTTGGCGAAGAAAATGGGAAATGATCAAGAATCCAGTTCTTCAGATAATGTTGACTGTGGACCTTCAATTAGTTTTAAATCACTTCTATCAGAAGCTTCGAAGTAAGTCTACGTTTTCCATCTTCAGATAACGTTGACTGTGCGCGGCTTTCGATTAGTTTTAAATCACTTCTATCAGAAGCTTCGAAGTAAGTCTACGTTTTCCATCTTCAGATAATGTTGACTGTGGACCTTCAATTAGTTTTAAATCACTTCTATCAGAAGCTTCGAAGTAAGTCTGCGTTTTCCATCTTCAGATAATGTTGACTGTGGACCTTCAATTAGTTTTAAATCACTTCTATCAGAAGCTTCGAAGTAAGTCTGCGTTTTCCATCTTCAGATAACGTTGACTGTGCGCGGCTTTCAATTAGTTTTAAATCGCTTCTATCAGAAGCTTCGAAGTAAGTCTGCGTTTTCCATCTTCAGATAATGTTGACTGTGGGCTTTCAATTAGTTTTAAATCACTTCTATCAGAAGCTCTT